CTCTCTCTCTCTCTCTCTCTCTCTCTCTCTCTCTCTCTCTCTCTCTCTCTCTCTCTCTCTCTCTCTTTCTCTTTTGTATGTATAGTTACTATTAAAATACTGATACCTATTGAAAGCATTAATATATACCACGTACGAAACGTGCGCACCTGTGGGTTTCGCGTAGAGATGCAGAGCGAGTCGTAGTATTGGTGTGAGTAGGAGTAGCTGCGTTGCAGCAATGGAGAGTAGGGCAGGAAAGCGCCTTGATGCGAGCTCGTAATGCCAAGTACTGCTCATAGAACCTGCATAACATGCATCATGCCATGCATACAACTACACTAATTTTTCTCTAGACGCATAAAGCTTGACAATATTCTACGCTAAATCTTTGAACTTTTTTTAACTCGCAAATGTTCCCGCCATAGAACATTAATCATAATATAAAAGAAAAAACAGTTATGTCGAAAAATCAAAGAATTTCGTACACGTCGTAATAAATGAAATGGCAAAATTTTGAATACTACGAAAACGATACATACACGTGAAATGTGGTTTCAACTCACTTTTCATCTGTTTCAAAACTATGTGTTCTAGTTAATACCACATCAGGCTCGGTATTCACTTTATTCGATATGGTCGGTGACTTCATATTTTTCTCTTTTTCTTCAGGTTCTGCTTGCAAACGAGAAACTAGTTGAATCACTGCTATATAATTACGTGAAAATAATTACATGTTTTACGAACGAACGACTTACTCGTCGATAAAGAATTTGTTGCGTCTGTAGTTTGTATCCTATTTCTGAAAGAGCCTGAACGCCGCCACGATGGTATTACTCCCTCTTCATTATTATCAGTCTGTTGTTTCGGAGGCATTATGGGAGCCTGGACAATTAAAGGAATCCTGTAATCTAGTTTTAACCACTTACGATGCACGTCAATAGAGTCTTTATTATCGTGTTACCTGATTAGGAACTTTATTAGTGTCGGTAGGAGATGAATTATTCTGGCTCGTTTCTTCCCTATTCGCTCTATTTTTCTTCTCTGTAAACGTAAATGAACATAATAAATTTAGTATTTACTTTCACTGGGAAATCGGGACAGAAGAGAATTAATTAATCGTTTATTTATACAGTAGAGAAGTTTGTTTTCAAGTCAGGAAAGATCACTTTTATTGTGCGAGAGAATAAAGAGAGATAAGATAAATCTATCTTATAAACACATGCAACTGAAGTTTAATTTTAATAATGTAAAAATAGTCTTACAGACAAAACTCACCATCATCTGTAAGACATGAAGAGTGGTTTGATTCGTTAGACTTATCAGATTGATTGGAGTAAGTGGAAGAATGTGATTCTGAGCTAGTCTCAGATTCACCTTCACCATCACTCTCTTCCATATCTGTTTCACGTGTCGCTTCTGTCCATGCAGCATTGTTACAAGAAATACAAATCGCTGTTAAGGTAAGTAAAATAGACTTGCGAAACTGAACAGTGTGTAATACATTCTATAAAAGGAACAAATATTTCTACCTAATTCGGCATTTCCCAATCATTCGTAGATAAATTTAAAGAAATTGTTCGTTTCAGTGTAACACCGTTAAGGTGTCTTTGTAATAAATATAGCCACAAAAATGGTACAAAGAAATGATTGAGAAATACTACCATGTATTCTTGTTCACTTCTAATTCGCAGAGTGTTCTGGCAGTATTACTCGAGTATTAATTACAAAATTGTTGCATCGGAAATGAAATTGTTAATACTACGAATGTTCTTTTAATATGCTCCAACTGTATGGCAATACCTTTGGAACATTCTGTATACACACATAAGCTTAAAAGTTCATTACCATTTAGTATCGTAATTAAATAATTCATCAAAATATTTCAATGTGAACATGCAAACTGCCAAACACAGTAATAATTAACACAAATGATGAACATACCAACATCACTGTTTGTTCCAGTACTAGAATCTTCCTTATCGGACTGAATTTCTAATTCGACTTTTTTAACTTTATTTGGTGTTTCTTCTTCAAAGGTTTCCACAGATTCTTGTGTTGTTATTGTATTCTCATTACTCATTGATACACTACATCATAACAAGTGACAATAAGTAAAAGATATTTTTTTGTACGAACTGAAAATAATTATTTATTTTCACGAACCGTTTCTTTGGTACAGACGGCTGCTTTTTATTAATAATTTGTGGATGATCTTTCATCATAAGTTTTTGCTTCTCTCTCAATTTTTCTAAGGCTGATAATATATCCGTGTCAGCGATGTCAAACGCAGTTTGATCCTATTAATGTAAAACTGTGAATGAGATAATATCTTTTTGTTAAAAAAAAAAGAGGAAAGAAATGAAAGAATATTACTCTTACAGCATAGTTCTTAATGTCCATATTACAGAAATTTTCCACTAAAAGTTCACAGGCTTTCAATTGACCCCAATGCGCTGCAGCATGCAGGGGCGTCCAACCATCGAAATCTTGAGCGTTAACATCACATTTAGCCTGCAGTAAAATGCTGGAAAATTTCAATTTTAAATGTAATAAATAATGCATAAAAATTACACCGGTTATATCCACTTTATTACATGTTAGTAATTGAAATTAGTAGAATTCAATTGGTCATACTTCATAACTTTAATATAGCCCTTAGCAGAGGCAACATGCAGTGCGGTAGCTCCTGTTTTAGGATGAACAGAATCTTTGCCCGTTGCTCCCGATCGCCATGCCCTAGCATCATTTAACATTGACCTCTCTTCTTCGCTTCTAGCATGATCACAATCTATGCCTGTGAGAAGGTAGTTAGAATTAAAGAATATGTAATTGTGACATAATTGTTACATATACTTCTTATACAAAGTAACAAGCAATACAAACCAGCTTCTTTTATGTGTTGCTGTAACATGTCTTCCATCTCGTTGCTTTGCGCAATGTCAAGAACCAATTCGCCGTCATTGTTAACTGCTGCCAAGTTACATCCTTTCTCTATTAAATATCTATAAAATGCATTTGTTCGTTTAAAAGCTTTTCTAAAAGTTAATGCTTAGTGCAAAGTGCAATTAAAAGTAAATGCTAACTTAGCAATTGATATATGTCCACAAGATGCAGTTGCATGTAGTGGTGTCCATCCTTCGTTATCACCACAATTGATATCGGCTCCCTTTTCTACTAAAAATTCGACCATGTCCAAATCATCATTGATACATGCCTACAATTAAAATATAATTCTTTTCAATTGTAAGATATAATTGTTTAAAAAATTAAATAATACGAAATACAAAATAATCATGTGTTAATTAAGAGATAGGTCAAGATTTATAAGGATGAACAGTCATGGAGGATATATTTAAGTGCTGATAAAAGATAAAGTCTTATTCATGCTTCTACCATGTTGCTGTACAACATTGAAACATTAATAAATGTTGTGCCTGGAGATTAATATATTTTCTGGGAAACTCTAATTAAAATTCAAAAATACATGTTTCTCAAATATTTAATGAACACGATTATGAGAACATTAGAAACATTAAAATGTTTACTTATTTCATAATTTTTAGTGTATAAATTGGAAATTTATACAAAGAATATTCTGAGGGAAACTTTTCAACTAAATTAAAAAGGATGTTACATATAATAACATTTTAAGACAGAGGACACATAGAATACAGATACTGCAGCGTCTGACTTCTAACAGAGAACTATAAATAGCATTTGATGCCTGATGTATTTTCACATTCTATTTTCGCAAATCCATGAAATGCCTAAACTTCCTCTTCACTTAAATAACAGTAACAAATAGGACAGATTTAATGTAAAATTCAATGTATAGAAATTTTTTAAATATATCACTTTCCCGTTGAACAGAGATTATAAGCATTTTATGAATGATTTGGATGGTTTTCAGCAATTACGTAACTACAGTGGAATTCATTCATGAACATGACAGTTGAATAACTTTTAATTTGTATTTAATATATATGTCAATTGGAAATAACAAAGAAAATATAAATTTTCACAAATACCGATACTTTCCCCTTTGTTTTATCTTCAAATAAATAATAAATATAATTATTTTCTTATATCATAGACATTGAAATTTTCATAAATAAATGTGCTACGATTTGACTAAATATATATATTTTTTATACAATTATATAGATTACATTTATATAATTGTATAAACTGTATATAACTATACATAAGTTAATAACCGTAAATAAGTTGGTAATCGTAAGATAAAAGAGCGGTTACCATTATTTTTGCAGGGGACTCAAATATTTTTATACTTTGAGCTACTACCAAATTGGACGTCTTTTACAGAGCTATTTTAAGTCTTATCCTAACTTCAACCTATTTTAGTAGTGTCAATAGTTTAAGTATTATGACAAACCTTGTATTATTTATAGAAAACAATATATTTAATGCTTTGAAAGATTATTATCTTAATAATGGTAATTCAGTTGCGTATCATAAAGGTTTTTATAAACTGAAAACAATATGAGAACGTAATAAGTAATCTATAAAGTTCATAGAGATTTTAATCCAACATGAAATTTATATTATTAAAGTTAAATAAATACTGCAATAAATTATTAATAATTTATATTGTATCATGTTCACAATATAAATAATAATAATAATAATTGAAACAAACTGCGATTAAAAATTATAAGAAGCATTTAAACATCCAATTTGGGCATTAATTAATTTAAAAGTACCAGAAAGATCAAAGAATTTTATAATAAATTAAAAGTACGTTAATTAGTACTCATTAGATTTTTGTATTTTTTTTAGCAGTCATGGATAATTAAAGAAGGATAATATTATATTAGAGCTGTTATCAGAGGAAACAAATGCGCGACTTCTTGATAGGCATTTAAAACTTGATTGCATTAATTCCTTCTCAACTTAACTATTCTTTTACCATGTCTAAAGTTAATCCTAGAGTCAATTCAAATTTGTGAACACATTTGTCTATGCAAAATCAACAAGACGATGTTGTACATTAAAGGTATACTTCAGTGATCATTATTCACACAAACAAACGACTTTAATAAAACGACTAAATCGTTAAACAATTATTCAACGTTATGATATATCGAAAAGCTGAATAAATGAAACTATCAATTCAGATTTCTTATTTTACAATGATCCAGAATTACACAAGTGTTTTTATTGGATATCATTAAATACATTGATAGATTCCTATTGTTAATAAAAGATCGCCGATCATCGATATCGGTTGCTCGACGATTCCCAGTGTCATTGATCAACAAAAATTTTGCCACCGAGGACGAACCCCGGGGTGAGTTAGAATCGTGTGTTCACGAGCTGGCGGTGTGCCGGTCTATCATCGGCGAGTTAAATGCGTGACATCGATAGTACAGGAGGAAAAGTTTGTTACCGATCGCACTTAAATTAGACAGCTGGAGTGTGTTATGTAGTAGCCATCTTGAGATAAGAATTTACGATCGAAAGGAAGAAAAACATAGGGGATAAAGCGAAGTCTGGGAAAACTCGGTCGGAAGTTGTTGCGTGCGCGTTGTATAGATAGAGATGTATATCGGAGATTGCGGTATATAAACAAAAGTACGAGAGAGAAAGAGAGAGACCCAAAGAGGAAGGAGAGAAGAGAGAGAGAGACT